GGATTCTGGTTTTATGTAGATGATTTGTCTTGGTGAATTAAGATGGGCTTCAATACGTAAGACTTGCTAATCACTTTTCGGAGTTTAACCAGTTAAACACGTCGCTTAGTTGCTGACGTACTTTGCATATTTGTTCATGAAAACTAGTTGTGGGGAAGCATTAGGATCAGGTATCGAGATGGTTGTTTTTTTTGTTTTTTGGGGTTTTTTGGGGGTTGTTGTTTTGTGTGTGTGTGTTTTTTTTAATAGTGAAGGATGAGGCAGCAAAGGCGACTTCGAAGTCACAACTAGATATTTGGAAACACCCCCAATTGAAGACCGTCTGAGCAGGCCGGGTTACTCGACCTGCCGGGATTTCTAGAAAACTGGGCCCTACCTGCAAGGTTATCCGCTACGTCTATCAAAACCTATCACCATATCGCGCACATCTGCCTGAGATAACCTTATCAGGCTGGATGACATGATGGGTATATTGGGATTCATATATCTGGACCCTAGCATCACTTTGTTTGCATGCTCCTCCAAATAATGATAATAATATCTCTATCGTACGCCATGTGTATTTGAGATCTGTAATGTTCGTAACATCTTGCTTCGCTAGAGTTATCCCCCTTAGCAGCGACGACACTAGCTTTTTATAAAACTGGGGGATTAATGAAAGATGTTTATGTAAACGAGAGGTGAAAAGATCTAATATGTATGAGCAGAGTACAAAAATAATATTTAAAAAAATGAATTAATCAAATAATATTAAAAAATATATTTTAAAACACATTCTTGAAAAATCTTCTAATTATAGAAATAACTTAAAATACTCCTTCATATTTTACGACATGGCTAATAATAATAATAATAATAATAATAATAATAATAATAATAATAATAATTTGGATGTGATGCATGTGCCCGGTATATCATTATCAGGCTGCTCTCCAAATAATAATAATAAAAGTAATTAATAATAATATCTTTATCATAGGCCATGTGTATTTGAGTTTTATCTGTAACATCCGTAACATTACGCTTTACTGGAGTTATCCCCCGCGACGCTTAGTAGCGTTGACACCAGGTGGCAATGTGATTTTTTAAAACAAGAAGATTGATAAAAAATGTTTATGAAACCGAGAGGTGAAAAGATCTACTGTGCATGAGCAGAGTACAAAAATAATATTTTTAAAAAGGAATTAATCAAATAATATTAAAAAATATATTTTAAAACTCGTTCTTGAAAAATCTTCTAATTATAGAAATAACTTAAAATACACCTTCATATTTTAAGACATGGCTAATAATAATAATAATGATAATAATAATAATAATAATAATAATAATGTGCATGCTGTACAGACTCGGTGTCATGATGGGCATATAGGTCTTCGCCTTGGAGAATTTAACAAGCACAGAACATATCGAAAACAAAAGGACAATGAATGGTAGTGGGCCACTTACCTGATGAGCTCGTTTGACTGGATGTCGGGACGAGTGGTAGGATGTTTGGAAAAACGTTGCTATGAGTTGTGGAGAGCCATGATCGGCTACGGCCTGAAGGGAAACGACACACAGAAGTGGAAGATATTTGTACCCCAGCGTCATTTCGTAGACGTGCCACTCTCTGACAAAATACTACTACTACTACTACTAGTAATAATAATAATATAGGATTCCTGGTAGCCCAAGCCTTGAAGAAATATAAAAAATTGTACTTACAAGTACCGCGCACACCCTACGAAGAGCTTTATCTATGTAAAATGGGTGTCATTTTAGGGGTGGGGGTCCTCAAAAAATGCTCAGTAGAAAATGTTATGATGCCATTTCTGACCTTAGATCTTTTGTTGGAACGCGAAAAGAAATGAGTATCCATCAGAAATGAAAGGAAATAATAATAATAATAATAATAATAATAATAATAATAATAATAATGACTACAGACATAACAAGGTAGCGACATATGTGCACTGGAAGATATGCAAGAAGCACAAAATCGATCATAAGTTTTTATTATTTATTTTACAAAAGTGATCAGTGAAAAATATCATGAAGCCATGTCTGACCTTAGGACCCGGAAGAAAGTGTGTACACAACAGAAATTCAAGGAAGAAATAATAATAATAATAATAATAATAATAATAATAATAAAATATGAATGAAACTGTTGACCATATTATCTCAGGATGTCCGGAACTGGCAAAAAATGAATATACCCACAGACATAACAAGGTAGCGACATATGTGCACTAGAAGATATGCAAAAAGCAAAAAATCGAAAACACTGAGATATGGTATGAGCACCAACCAGACACAGTTACCCAAAATAACGATGTAACTATCCTCAGGAACATGCCAATTGAATCTGACAGGGAAATAAAAGCCAACAGATCAGATATTATCATAAAAGACAAGAAATTCAGGAAGCTTATTGACATAGCAGTACCATCTGAGAGAAACACATCCAAGAAAATTATTGAGAAATTGTCTAAATACAAGGACCTGGAGATCGAGATTAACAGGATGTGGGGAATGAAGACTGAGACTGTACCAATAGTAATCGGAGCACTGGGCCTCGTGAGAAAAGGAATGGACAGTTTGAATAACAGTGTCTCAGGTAACATCAACATACAAGTTGCCCAGAAGATCGCCCTACTAGGAACATCCTATATACTAAGAAAAATACTATCAATTAAATGACAATTCTCCTATAGGGCCTAAGACCATAGTTTGGATCCGGCTGTAATGGATACAAAGCAGGAAACATAACATACACAAATGATAATAATAATGTACAAATAAAATAGGGCATCATCGTTTTTGTAGGAAATACTCGCTCTTCATTTATTCCACTTATTAGTTGAATGCAAAATTATCCGGCAAAAATCGGTTTTCAGCTGTGTATTCAGTCTCTTATTTTAAAAAAAAGGGGGCGATTGGGAACTTTTACACACAGGTATATGTCTTCGATTTCGTTTTTCTCTTATTCATTACAAAGAGATTTTATCGCGAGATATCTTGTCAGCTGGTTACGAGTGCTTAAGCACTGTTGTTATTCGATGAAGTCTATAAAATCTCTCTAGTTCTTTCTTTTCTTTACAAGTTATGATATCGCTTTCAAATTCCCCAATCGGAAAACCTGTAAGGCACGAACAATACTCAAATTTTAAATGAAATCAATCTAGGAAATTCAAAGAAAAAATAAGTAAGCAAGCACATACATGCTCATATATAGCTTAAGTATCGTAAAATATTCTTACAATGCGTTTAAGCAAATATTGTATTGAAATGTTTGAGCGAAATAAAAATGCTAGTAAAAAATGGCCGCTTAGGTTACAGTTCAGTGAAATTATTACTATTGCAAGGCAAGCAACAATTTGAGCGTCTGACTTCAACAACAATGTTTGAGCGAAGTTTTAGCCACTTAAAATGCTGCAGTATTTTGTCGTCTGGTACAAAATGGCCGTTTAAGTTGCAGTTGAGCGAAATTATTACTATTGCAAGGCAAGCAACAATTTGGGCTTCTGGCTTCAACAACGAATACGTCGCTTATTACTTACGTAATCTTGTTGTTAAGGGGTACATTAACATTGGCTTTGGTCACGGTTGGCGTCACCGCCGTTGCATGAGGTGGCAATGGGGGAGTTTTACTAGGAGAGCGGTTCAGTATGCTGGCCGACTGGGATCGATTATCCCTGCGTACGACCTCGGGTTGAAAATGGACGGTCGGTTGATATTGCTTTGGTCGTCGGAGGATGGCCTGATCCATCGGGGTGGCAGACGATGGTTTCAGAGGTGGTATTTGTTGCTGTGGGGGTTGCGATGTTTGCTTTGGCTGTGGAGGCTGTTTCTGTGTTGCTTGAGTCAGTTGCTGCTGAGTGGTCTGAAGCTGTTGTTTTTGCGTGGTCTGAAGCTGTTGCTTCTGCATGGCCTGAGGAGGTTGCTTTTGTGTTGTTGGTGTCGGTTGCTTCAGTGTTGCCTGAAGAGTCTGTTTCTGTGTGGCCTGAGGTGGTTGCTTTTGTGTTGGTGTTGGCGGTTGTTTCTGCACCAGAGTTGGCTGGTTTTGCGTTGACGCCGGCAGGTTCTTCTGGACTTGGGACGGCTGCTTTGATGTTAAGGGGGACGTTATAGGGGTCGGTTGTGCCTGAGGCAAGGGCTGCTGTTTTGGTTGTCCCTGCTTTCTCAGTTTTTGTTGCTGCCTCTGTTGTTGCTGCTGCTGCTGTTGCTGCTGCTGTTGCGGTGGAAGTGGCGGTGGTGGTGGTGGCGGTGGAGGTGGTGTAGGTGGTGGTGCTGGTGGTGGTGATTGTTGAACTACCTGATTTGGTTGTGGTGGTACCACCCGTAAAGGAAGCGGATTGTCTTGGTAGCGGCTATAATTTTCCATTTTCTTGACCGTGGTGTTTGCTTCTCTCGGGGTCGACAGTTGTACATTGGTCTGGGGTAGAATTGTAACGGGCTCCGTCTCTGTAAAAGCCGTTTCCTTCTGTCTCCGCCAAGAATAGTTATTTATTCGATTATCCCCGGGTTCCATCGTTGAGGAGCTATTGGCTCGACCCTGCCGACGTAGATTCGAAACCGCCGCAACTTTGGCTACTATCTGTTCCTCGGGGTCATCGCCGTCCCCGTAATCACAGACCCGATGATTGTCTCCTTTGTTAGAGTTCATATCAATTAGTTCGTTGCTAAATTTTTTCCTCTCTACTGTATCTTTTTCTTCCACTTCCTCGGTGTATCCCTCGGAACCTGAACTGCTCGCTTTGTCGTGATAGTCATCCGAAGGTTGTTGGTATCTAGGACGTTTTATACGTCGGTGTTGTCGACGCAGTCGGGCTGCCTCTATTGCAGCTGGACGCTGTATGCTTAAGTCTGAATCGGACAGCCACCCAGTCATCCGGTGAGGAGTTGCTTGTGGCTGGGCGGATTCATGCACCAGAACAGAGGGAAAGGCTATACACTGAGGCCTACCATTAAATTTCTGGTCGCGTGCCGTCCCTTGGTACCTCTGGGACGGATGTCTGCGAAACGGAGGTAAAAGGAATTAAAACCGATTTCTTTTCTTTATTTTTTTGCAGTACAAAAATTATTGTTCTTACTAAAGTAATATGAGAACAGAACTTACTACAGGCGCAAATTGAATTCACTCATTTCACATGATCGTTGATTTATTGGTTCAGGACAGAACCATTCTAAGATACTGATTTGTGTTATTTTTTAACGATATTTTTACCAGGCTTCATATTACAAATAGACAATTTAAAAAAAATAAACATAAATTGTTTTTAAGTTATAGAAAATAAATGTTAAAGAAAAAAAATAACTATCGTGATTTCTTAGAATATACTAAAATAAGGGAAATGTTTTTTTTAGGATTCAAAACTAAAAATAGATTATAAGCATTTGATAAACGGTTAGATAGGCCGAAAGGTATCAACGGTTTTGCGTGCGTAGATAGGCTGACGGCTATTAAATTGATTAACATACATCCTCTTTTTGGCTGTCACAGATTCAAGATTCTGTCCAATGATATAAGCTATCAGTATTATTTTGTGTATGTGTGTGTGGGTGTGTGTGAGGGAGAGAGAACGAGAGAGAGAGGGGGGGAGCACTGAAGCTAAAAGAATGTTGGATCATAAATAGATTATTAAAACAAGAAAATTAAATTTAGAGTAAAAATTGAAAACTGCATAAGCTTGAAAATTATGACAAGCCCTCGTATTAATAACTTCGGCTGGGTTGACAGATGCTTAAGTATTAAACCTTTGGTGTAGACAGACTGTTATGTAAAAAAGTGTAAATTTAAAAAATAAAATAAATATCAGTCGTTCTAGATGACAATCTCCATCTCCTGACATATGAAGAAGGGTTTTGAGGCAACAGAAATGTGGCGCTACAGAAGGATGTTGAGAATACTATGGACTAAATATCTAATTAACGACAAAGTTTTAAAGAAAATTGAAACAAAAAAGGAGCTTATTCAAAGCGCATATAAAAAGGACCGACGGAAATATTTATATATCGGTCTTTGTTTTTCAATGTTTGCGAAAAGCTTTGTCAAATGTTTTTATCTTATGATTTATATATAACAAAAAGATTTAATTATATCATAGATAAAGCTTTATTTATACGAGAGTCGGGTTAAACCACCGGTCCGGACAAAACCGGTCCGGACAAAACCGGTCCCGACAAAACCGGTCCCGACAAAAGCTGTTCTTAAGAATGGCAGCTCAGAATTATCTCTAATACTGGCAAAACTGCTCAACCACTGCCTGAAGGATAGATGCTTCCCAAGTTTATGGAAGGTGTCAGCTGAATACGAGTGAGCGCTCATGCTTGTCGCATTGTCGGCCTATCAACAAACTCTTCGAATTTATAATCAAGAAGAAAGTTGTTGAACACCACAACAGGAACAACCACCTGAGCGATAACGAGTATAGATTTCGCCCTGCTAGATACGCAACTGATATCTTAACTGTCATTAGTCACAGAATTAACGAGACATTAAATTCATCACGAGAACCATCGTCCAAGGTATATCAAAGGTCTTTGACATAAACTCTCCAGCTATGAAATCGCTAGAAGGGCTTTCTCAATTATCAAGTCCTTCCTAACAGATTTCAGATTCCTGAACATCGTTATTAACGGTCAGTCACCGGAAGCCCATGTGATCAATACCGGTGTTCTTCAAGTTTATCTCCTCGGCCCTACTCTCTATATTAATGATCTGCCTAAGAACATACTCCGGTCCTTAGTGAATATCTATGCGGACAATACAAGTTTATAAGTGCGCCTCTAATGACTATAAAACACTATAAACGTGTAAAAATAGATTTTAATACCAGCAATATATTTTAGGAAAAAAATTACCAGCAATACATTTTTTGGAAAAAAGAAATTATTACCAGCATTAAAAATCTTGTCGGCATTAAATAACCCATTGAGGTTCATATACCGTAAAATGAAACAACCAAACCGGTTCCTTATAACGTCTTTTACTTCACTTTCACCTCCACTTGCCCCTTTTGTCTTAGTGGCGTTATCGCCTTACTTGGGGTGAATTGAATTTTTAACAAATCCTGGTGGCTCAAATATATATGAAATGTAAAAAAAAAAAAATTCATACCCACGTGTACTTTTCACATCTTGCGTAGATTTTGTTATTAATTTTTATGTAATTATTTATTTTTATTTATTTCGTTTAACAGACCGAAAATTATGACACTTAGCTTCCTCCATAGTTTACCTTTCCTTTACACAGTAAGTTTTTAGATGATTTTAAGAGCGTTCTCTAATTCAAAATGAGGAAACTTAACGTCATTTTATTTTTTTCCGCGTTACTTTTGTGTATAAATACAGGTAACAAAGTACAATTTCTACATTTGCCGTGATAAAAATTCGTCAAAGAACGAAACGCGTTGACATAAAAGGTCTCCCTCTTGTATTTTACTTTATTCATATTGTCTTTACATTTTTATTTCCTGGATTCATATATATTTATATATATATATATACATATTAGAGTTATGAGTTTTTGACGTTTTTTTTTTTTAAATAATTGATTTCCTATATCATAATTCGATGAATATTTGTTCAAAAGTAATTCAGTAATTCAGTTTTTTTTTTAAATTTCACCCCCCCAAAAAAAAAAGATTTCTAAAATCGTATATAAATATAGTAGTACTATGACTTTCTGGACCCTTCTAGAATTTTCTGAATCCTTCTAGACCTTTATGGAACCTACCAGCACTTGTTTTTGTTTATTTGTAAGTTTGTATGTTATGCTATAACTACAAACTATTAAATGCGTTAAAACTACATTAGTACGATCCAATTATATCATTAGCAAATTTTTAAGTCATGGGGTTTATTTTGTAGGTTCCCTTTGGGGTATTGTGGTATATGTAGAAGTAAAAGGTGAAGGCTGTCTTCTTTTGGTATGTGTTATCTGTATTGATTAAATGGGTCGTGAATCGGATTAGCTAGGTATAGGATAGTTAATGATGACCAGCCTCAAACCACTCCTTACTTTTTGGGCCATGTGCCGCAATTATTGTATTTTAAAATAATAAATATTTACACCATAGCAAATTGAAAATATAGCTTCTGAAATATTTGGATTTGTTACTGATATGTCCCGGAAAGGGATATATTTGTTCGAAGTAGCAAAGTGGTTGTTGACTACTGTAACCGCGTAGGACAATCTAGCAGGTAATGGACTGGTCCTCGTCGTAGTGGTAGGCAATAGGCGAAGACACTAGGTGAAGACAATAGGCGTAGTCATGTACCTCCACATCAGTCTGTATTTATGGCTGACACCAGCCAATCATATTACTGTGAGGGGGAACCCAGGTGTATGCATATTCATTACATCAGTTACCCTTATTGTGTATATGGTAAAATCGAATTTTTGGTTTCGGGGGTGACCTTTTTTAAGAACTAAAACAGAATAATGCTTTTTTTTTTTTCATTACTTTTGAATAAAATTTCATTGATTTATGTTACAGGAACATAGGGTTACAATAGTCTTATCACTAATGTATATATAATATTTTTATACCAGTATATATACTGTGTGTGTACAGATGCATGCACATTAATGCAGGTGTATGTGTGTACCATTAAATCAAGAGAAATACGTGTACATAATTATGCGATATGTTTCTGTTAGAATTTGTAAAGAAATGTAGAGTGATAGTCGTTGATTTAACATACGCGAAAAGAAAATACTTATATAAGGCGGATAAAAAAATAAATTAGATTAAATAAAATGTTGGCGCTTAAAAAAGTAAATCAGAAGTTAAATTATTTTACGGTGCGCTCGGCATCTTTGTTCAAAATACAACAGCCTTAATTTTATTCTAAAATAATGTATTATCTAATAGCCTAGAAGAATATGTTGAGTCTTTCATGGCATTACACAGAACAATGGCGATTACTTTGCGGTGTTCGTATTATTAAATAACAGCCGATAGCTTTTGCTGACTTACATGGTATCAATTGTCCCCTATTAGAAGAAGGTGGTATTAACGCAAACGGAACACATTACTTAAACGAACATTTGAATTCGGTTTCCTACTTCCGTTTCCGTATTTTGCCGTTAACCATTAAACCAACTCAGCATTTCCCAAAACACCTAAATTTTTTTTTTTTAAAGAATGCTGCTTAATATTGTTTTATCTATCGGCTTTTGAATTGTGAGACGATATATTTAAAAAAAAAAAAAAAAAAACTTGTTTCATTGATTACCTCAACAAAGTATCTTTTAAAAGATAGTTTCATGATTATCATCCCCAATCACTTCATAATATAGTATTGGGTTGGTGCATAATTATCAGGCGTTTTTGTAGGTGAGTTATTTGTTAATAAAAATTGTTTGTTTTTTTTTTAATAAACATATTAATTTATTTTCAGGTTATAAAAATGAATGTCGATAATCATACTCTCCGGAATAATCATTTAAAAATGTTATTGTTGAATTATTATGTTTCTTTTCTCATAAAAAATAGTATTTTAAAAAATGCCTGATAATTATGCACCAACCCAATAACACCTCTCATTAGAAGGTTATGAAGTTTTATTTGACTCATTCAACTTTAAAGCTGAAAATCGTTTATTTAATTGAGATGAATGGTTACAAGCGAGAGGGGAGATGCGATGCCCTTATTTTATTACTACGCCATTCGTATTGCATTAGTAAGAAAGAAGTTCCATTCGGACAGCTTCTTCCCAAGAACCGCTGCTTTGTGGAACGGACATCCAGTGAGGATATTTTTCAGATCACTAAAATTTTAACGTCTTCATATTTATCTTTCCTATATATTCTCATAAACTCTACTTCTTGCTCCCTTCTCTTACATACATCCACCTCAATCAATTACAATCTACCTTGAGTATCTCTTGGGCCCTGTACTGAGTAAAAGAAAATATTGTTGTCAATTTTATTTTCTATCAGTTCAAATATGTGCCATATCGCTTAGGCGATCATGTATCTTTCGATACATGACTGACGAGGCAGATA